GGGCCAGAGAAGTTGAAGGCATTGTAGAGGCAGAGTTCTTAGGACTGACCACATAGAACCAAAGCATTTCCTTTCAGCATGAACGAGGTTAGGAATTGCAAGGCCTCTAGCATTTCACTTTCTCTTCTACAACCCCTTTCCTTTCCTCTTTCATAGTAGGAAAGCTTGTTTTACATGCAGTTCTCTCTCTATGTTCCTGGAGCTTATGTTCTAGTTTAGGACTCTGATAGTGAACAAGGTAAATAAGTAAAGCATATAGCATTGTTGGTGATATGTGTTCAGGTGAACAAGATAATCAGAAGTTGGGTATAAGAATTTGTGAAAGCTTGGCTTTGACTGAGAATGCTGCTTATTTGGGAATCTGCGGTGCATTTTTGGTTTTTCTTTATTGGCCAGGCACTGCCCTCTTCAGACCATTGTTTGGCTAAAGAAACTGAACATGCCTCTGAGTTCTAGAGTTACTCTGTGCTGGAGATAGGAGGAGCTTTGGAGGGAGGCCCTGTAGCCCAGATGTTCTCAGACTGGACATGAGAATCTCCCAGGGAGATTCCTGGCCCCATCCCAGAGTTGCTGATTCATAATCTGAGGGCAGGATTCAAGTGTGTAGCTGAAGAGGTTAAGGTACAACCTAGTTAGTGTCCCCTCCCTCCATCCCCTGCATTGGTCAGAGAACAGGGATCAGAACCCAGGCATTCTCTCAGTTTAGTGTACTCTTTTCACCATGTTGTACTGCCTCCTTACTCTTGAGATTAAAAAGTTGTAAAGAAGGAGATGTTTAATTTTATCAAATGGCATTTTGTTCTTGTTTAATTATCTTCTTGGAGCCTTACTGTTTATATATTATATCCCTGGGTTTTAAGCAGTATCTGAAGAATTCTTTCTCAAGAAGTTATATGGTTTCCTTAGAGGCTTTTGTAATTCATTGGAAATCGGGAGAAATTGGTTAGCTAAATTTGGTCTTCCAAAAAACTGATCTTTATCATTTTTGGAAGAGCACTTTCTCTTTGAAAGGTGGCTAATGAGAAGAACTTTATCATTTGTTGGGGGAATTTATTAATTTGATGCTCTAGCTGCTTTATTTGAAGAGTTCTTTCAGAAACCAAAGAAGAAATAAAGAAATACCAGCCACCTGGTTGTGGTTTTTCTGGCATGCCTCTTTTGGGTGGACAGCTGTGAGGTGGTTATTACAGTTGGCTCTCATAATCTGTTTGAGTTTTGCTAGAAGAGTCAATGACTCTTCCCTCTCTGGTCCCTTTTTTCTATTCTTGATGAGTTTTTATTTTTCTGATCTTCTGATCTGGAAGAGTGGAACACAGAAGCCTAAATACCTCTGAGCCAGGGAGAGAGCCAGGCCTCTTGTCTTGTTCTCTTTCACTTTAGAGACAGTATGGGTTGGAAGGTCCTGAGTCTGTTGTCTGGTTGCAGCCCCTCCTAGGGGTTTGGTCAGGCTGGTGCTGCAGCTGATGTCTTTGAAGTGGACTCTTAAGTTGGCAAAGTGGGAGTGCCCTGATCTTCTAGAATCATTTCTGTCAACAGAATGGGGTAGCTAGAACTTTTCATTGATTTTGGATTTTTATTTTTATTCAACTTGGACACTTACAGAACTTTGAAAGCATTTTAAAAAAAATCTGCCCCACCCAAAAAACCCCCACAAAAAACAAAAAACACCTGTCTCTGGAGTGGTAGTTGCAAGCTAGTTGTTGGTAATTCCTCTCTCACCATGGGCATATGACCAGTTTGTTTAGAACTTGAATGAACTAGAACTAAAATGAAAGAATTATTTCCTGTCTCTTGTAAAGTAGAAAAATGGGGTTTGATTCTCAGTTTAGGAATGATAAGAAACCTAGACTGAGTGGGTTTGATTTCCTAGGTCAGGTGTTGGTATATCTGATGAGAAATTTTTATTTTTCCTATCATCAATTTAGCTTCAGGAAGTCGTTAGTGATGTCTCTGAGGCCACATAGGAGGTTAAGAATCTCTTATTGTCCTAGGTCACATAAATAGTGGGGAAACATGACTGTTTAAATGCAAAATAAAATGAAGGAAGCCTATTTTAGGAGGCAGGCCCTGGGGATAGAACTAAACAAGTAGGTTTCTGGGCAGCTTCTCTTCAATTGAGGTAGGGCTCCTCAACCAGTCTTCAAAGCCATGAAGTATTGGAGGAGTGAGAAAAGACAAGATGAGGGGGCATTAGACACAGATGTCTGTGCCTGGGGAGGGGGCACAACAAGAATGATTTATGCTGGTCAGCTCATGTGTACCAGGGTACAAAGGGTAGTTCTTTTTATGGAATCTACTCTGTACCTCCTCAGAGCTGAGTAGGGCCACGTGGAGCTTGCAGGAAGCTGAAAGTGCATTGGTTGGGAGAGGCCTTAACTGTTATATTTGTCCCTGCCTGGAATGCTCCTCAACAGGGGAGGGTCCCGAACGGGAACTGGATCAACAGCTGCCGCCTGTCCCTGTAATCACAGGAAGCTGAGGCCGGGTGCCTTTGTATGGGAGCTCCGCAGCCAGACAATAGTTTGTGCTGGCGGGGCCATGTGGCGAGTCACGTGACCTGGGGCTGTTTTCTGCCGGGGTCCTTACCCATCTGTTCTCTCGGCTCTTTCTGGGTTATCAGGCGCCAGTCCAAGTCCTCCCAGGCAGCCAGCTTCATGGCCAGAGATTACGAGCACTAACCTTCCTGGCAGGGGCGGTGTGGCTTCGCGTTTATGCAGATTAGCCATGTGTTTCTCACTTCAAGGCGTTCCACAGGAAAAGCCTTTTCCTGTGTTTGGCTCTCAGTGGGCGGTTCCCAGCTTACTGTACTGGGACTCTGCAAGCAGCAGGCGTGCACTAGAGGGATCACAGTACACTGGCCCCCTCCCATTCCACCTCCAGTGCTACGTCACCACAACACAACCGCTCGCGCTCTCATACTGTTGGTGTCATTCATTCGGTGCCAAGATTGCTTTAAAAAATTCCCTTGGCCCCAGTTCAAACAGGAGTACAGCTGGGATGTGTTAGATTTTAGGCAGTCTGCCCTCAATTTGAGATGAGTTATAAATAGCAGTGCTGACTTCCTTAACTACCGCTCTCTGAGGTAAAATGCAGGTTAATTACTGTGGGAATCAATTAGAGGGTTCTTTTGGTTAAAGAGCCAGGGATGCTTTTTTATTGTTAATATTAAAAGTCATACAACAAATCTGGCCAGGAATAAAGTGAAAGCACAAGGAGTAAGAAATATTTTAATATCCGGAATCCAAGGTTATGGCTCAAGGTTTCTGCTGGCCCCCAACTAGTTGGCATTTAGGATGACAGGACAAGTGGTAGTCAGACTTCTGCTTTCTGATGGATACCTTTTTGGTAACCCAGCCCATCCCTCTCTAGTCGTGTTCTTGCTGGTCCTTGGGTACCAAATCTGGCTCCTTAGGTTTGCTGCCTGGTCACTTCCTTTCTGCATCTTTGGATTGGAACTGAAGCGTGGAGCTTTCCTCAGTTGGACTTTTATTTCAAAAAAACTAAGAAGTTTCTCTTTCCTGGTGCCATTACCATATGGTGTCGTGCATTTTGGTGAACAGTATCTTTCCCTTGGAAGTTGGAATGCATGGCTCCATCTTTCCTGCTCTCTTCTCAATCAGTCTTGATCAGAAGTTGGAGCATTTGAAGTCCAGTGTGTTATATTTCAGCAACCCCTTAGGTTGTTACAGCTTTCCTTGGTGCAATAAGAAGTTGTAAGGGATTCCATTAGCCCTCTGGTTGGAGGGGCTTTTAATTCCATTTGCTTGGAGCAGGAGAACTCTATGCAAGTGGTTAGTCTGTAAGCTGTTTGTTCTGAATATATTCATAGAGACCAGCCTGCTAGGCATCCTTGCCTTTGATGCCCCTAAACTGCATCTTTTGATGCATTTCATTTGGCAGACAGTTTGTAACATGTCCAGTGATCTGGAAAGAGATAAGTGGTTTGAACGGAGATGGGGGTTTTCTTATGGCTCTTTTTTATTTTTATTTTTTATGAATGCAGGAGAGTTATATAGCAGGGGGCCCAACTTCCCTGATCAAGGGGGCAGCATTTTCCTCTCAATTATGTGCCTTTGTGGCAGAGCCTTTGCTTTTGAAGTGTAATCACAGTAATCTACTCCTGTGGTTTCCCATTGAAAGGATTTCCTCTCTGTCTTTCCCAGAGTGGAATCTCTGGCTCTTTGGTGTTTGTCATTTTCCCCTGTCTCTTCCTTGGTGCCTGCAGATTGCTGATACTGGCTTTTCTGTCTTGCATGTAGTAGAGATTTTTCTAGTCTGAAATTACTACTTTCCAATAAAACTGATTAGTGAAGATTTAAAGCCCCTTCTCTGTTATGAGAGATTGGAAGATAGCATTTCATCTATAACTGCAAATCACAAATCTTTCACAGTGGTTTTAAATGTCAGAAGGGTGATAGGTCCCTGCCCACCTCCCTTTCTTATATGAGCATATGTTTAACTTTGACGTGGGACGAGACTAATCTGATTGAACTGAATATATTTTAGTTGGCTAAGCTGCATATTCTGTTGATTATAACCCTTTGGTGAAGGGAAGGGATCGGAAATCTGATGTCCAGGAAAGGGAAAGTCTTAATTTCACTTTTGGAGTAAGAATTTCTTTAACTTGCATTTATTTTGGGTTTTGGGTGGAGGAGGAAATTAGGTTTATTTGTTTTTATTTATTTATTTTCTAATGGAGGTGCTGGGAATTGAACCTAGGACCTTGTGCATGCTAGGCACATGCTCTACCACTGAGCTATACCCTCCTCCTGCATTTATTTTTATTCTGCAAGGAATTTCTAAAGTTAATGGAGGAATCCTTAAACCCTTTATTAACTAGCCCCCATGTAAGTAGCTGTCTTCAGTTAGGAGTGCAGTCCCCCTGATGTGAGAGAGGAAAAAGTAACTTGCGTTTTAGGCTTTTGTTTTTAAGCAGTGTGTTTAGGGATGCTTGTGCAGTTTGACGACCTCTGGTTATAGGATGGTAGAAAAGATTCTTCTCAGAAGTGTGCTCTTCTCCCTTGGCTGTTTGTTATACACCCCCCCTTTCTTTTTCAGTCCAGTCCCCATTTTTTTCTGCCCCCAAAGTCATAACCTGGTTTAGAGTTTAGGGGTGCTCTTGGCCCTTTGGTTAGATGATTTGATTTGGGCTTTCTCCCCACAGTATCCCCTACCCACTTCTTACAATAGGGCAGCTTTGTACATTGAAGTTACTGAGCCCTACTTCTGTGCTTGGGGTCTTTGGAGGGACTTCGAAGATAAAATACCCGATCTCTGACTTTCCAGAACTTAGTCTCAAAAGATGCAGTCAGTTAGCTGGACAACTAAGTGCTAAACCTATGACTGACTGAATTTACAATAGGACATTCAGAAATGTGAAAGATCAGAATGTACTAAAGAAGTTGGAAGTAGCTTCATGTTGATGTGTTGGGTTTCTGCTAGTGGAAGCCATTATGGACAGGAGGGCAGGAAGGGGTACCATTGCATAGAGCTGGACATGTGGGAAGTTTGGCATGAGGCTGAAAAATGTGTAGAATCAGAGCACACTGTGGCAGGGTTTAGAGCTAGGCAGAAGCACTATTTATCATTATTGACAATAGCTACTATTCATTGTACATTTAAGTTCCAGGCACTGTGTGAAGTGTGTTAATGTGCATTTTAAATAAAGAACTGATATGTTCAAGGTCAGGCAGTGATAGAGTTAGAATTTGAACCCAGGTCTATCAATTTACTACAGTCTTTGCTCTTTCTATACAGTACTGAATATGATATAGTAGGTAGGGATTTTGGAGCTGTTGTTGAGCAGGGAGAGATGAAGATGATTTGTGAGTATTGCTCTGGAATTGTATGATCCAATATGATAGCCACTAGTTACATGTAGTTATTTGAAAATCAGAAGTAAGTAAAGATAATTCATTTCCTCAGTCACACTAGCCATATTTTAAGTACTTAATAGTCACACAGTACAGACGATTTTGTTGGTGATGTTTTTCTAGATTACTGGTTCTTAGCCAGTAGTATACCCTAGAATCATCCAAGTATCTTAAGGGGTTTGGGGGTAGGGGATTGAGCCCAAGCCTTTTCAGACCCACTCAATTGGAATCTCTGGGGAGAGGCCCAGGCATTTGTGAAGCTTCACAGAAAATTCTGATCTATATCCCCGATTAATAGATACTGCTCTAGAAGCTCCGTAGTAACCGTGGTAATAACTGCCCCTCAGGTGTTGTGGGGAAACCTACGCTGACAGAGATACCCAGAGTGGGCTGGTCTCTATTTGGCAAATGTAGTTTCTTCACCTGGGGCCACATGGACAGCAGCTGCAGGCTCTAATGAAATGACAGTCTCGTTCTATGTAGCATGATGTGGCTGTGTAAGCCCCTTTTCTCTTTATAGGCAAGAATGGTGATGTTTTGGCTCCATTGCCAGGAGTACCTGGGAAAGACCACATGCTGTTTATTACTCACCAGTGCAGTTGTTGAATTTGAACTTCCTAAACAGTCCCAAAAGAATCCATGTAGCTCCAGAATTACGATTGGGAACATTATTGGAGCTTCTGATACAGAGGCAGGACTTGGGCAAAAATTGTTTAGTTGTGATTGTTGGAAATAGAATTTTAATATTGACATGTAGTAGTGATTTGGGACACAGTTTTATTATTAGTTTGGAAACTTTCAAGGTATTCCCATCATCACTTACCTTCTTAGCTTTGATTTCAGCTGCAGCCTAAGAGAGAACTTCGCTTCTGCTTTTTTTGGGGGGTTGATATTTAGAATAGTCTGTGGCTTTTTGTCTTACCCATTTTCCTCATGACAGCTCGACTTCCTCTGTTATAAAGCACTTAGGTATTACTCTGCCCGAAAAGACATGTGCAGAGAACCAATTGCTTGAACACCTCCTCCCCTTATTTTGGAGGGGGCTGTGTTCTTTTTTAAGGTCTTACACTACACACCTTAAATTATAGAAAAATTAATTAATTGTAGAATAATAGAACTAGAAGGGACCAGTGGTTCTTAAAATGTGGTGGTCCCTGGACTAGCAACATCAATATCACCTGGGAACTGTTATAAATGCATATCCTAGCCCCAACCCTGAACCTACAGAATCAGAGACTCTGGGAATGAGTCCCAGCAGTATGTGATTTAATATGCCCGCCAGGTGATTTTGATGTATTCTAAAGATTGAGAACCACTGAACTCCTTAATTTGAGAGTTAATGATGTTGAGAGTTAATGATGTTCAGACCCAGAGTATTAATATCTACTCACCATCTCCAATTTAAGATTCAGTTTTCAAGTTTTATGTTAGGTCCAGGTCTACTCTGCAACTTGGGCATATCTATTTAAGGTATTTAGAGACACTCTTTCCTCCGCTGCACACCACCAGTAGATATAGGTAGGCAACTCTCGCAGGGGAAAAGTGTACTGAGGCTCTATACTAGTAGCTCCAATAGTATAAATGTCAAAGAGTGAATGTGTTGATTGATCCTGTTGCACCACAAAGAGCTAAAAGTTATGTTTGTAGCCAAATACCTATGAATTGAACTTTGAACTTTCATTATAGGCTCCTCTGTATCTTATTCTTTATAGAGACAAAAGTTCTACCCTCTTACACCCTCAAGCACTTGAGTATTAGAGGAGGTGAACTTTTCAGTTAAGTTGTACAAAGCTCTAAATAAATTCACAGTCACAGTTTCCTCTACAACTGTAACTTGTTGATGTTACCCATTTGGAAGAAAGCATAAATTTAAATGTTTGTGCCATAGTACAAATGGGCTATGGATGTGCAAGGAAATAAGATTCCACTATTTAAAGAATAAAAACATCTAGATGCTTGTGTATTTGAATTTCCAAACACAGTATTGAAGCACCAGTTTTGGTATTATTGAACAAGATCATGGCAGAGTATAGCAGCACCGCCCCCTCCCAGCTGAAAGGCCTTTTTTCTGATTTTCTACACCGTAGAGTGCATAGATTCATTACTCCACACCTGGCCTGTCCCTGTTATCTCAGGTGGTATCACACTTAAAAAGTAATGTATAGCTTACAGGATGCTTTCACAAACTGGTGGTATTTCCATTTTACATATGACAAAATCAAGGTTCTGAGGAAGGTTAAATGACTTACCCAAGGGTTACGGGGTCTGTACCATTACTTCTCATAGTAATTGTTTTCCTATGTGGCATACAGACCTGTATGCTTAGGTTTGTGTTCATATTGGCTGAGGCCATCAAAGCTTCAGGTTAATGAAATGCTCTTTATTTTGTAGCCATCCAGTCCAATGGATCAGATGGGCAAGATGAGACCTCAGCCATATGGCGGGACTAACCCATACTCGCAACAGCAGGGACCTCCGTCAGGACCGCAGCAAGGACATGGGTACCCAGGGCAGCCATATGGGTCCCAGACCCCGCAGCGGTACCCGATGACCATGCAGGGCCGAGCGCAGAGTACCATGGGCGGCCTCTCTTATGCACAGCAGGTAGACGGTGACTCCGACTGTCTTAATCCTTGTTGTTGTCCAGGGTCTGGTCTTGACCTATAGAATCAGAATGTGTCTTTGGCTTCCAAACCTTGAAAGGAACATAGACCAACTGACTCAGTTAGTTACAGTGTGCAACTTACAAGACCAAGATTGTGGGCACCATTGCATGTGTTCTGGAAGGAAAACTGCTCCCTGGCCACAGGCTATAATACCTGTCTTCTTTGGCCTTTGGCCTGCTTGTATCTACTGAGTGGTGATCTCTGAAGGAGGTGGGAAGAAAAAAAGGCAGTGACTGAGCACCAGTCCACTGGTACCAAGAAAAACCACTCATGCCATGTGCCCTGGGACAGAAGAGGCCCTTCATGTTTCTCGAGGCTTTCAACATATAGCTGTCTGGTTTAAAATGAATGTTTAGAAGGAACTGGGAGTAGAAGAAAAAGGGAAGATTGAACAGTAAAGATGCTAACAGTGCTATTACAAATATCAAGATTTTCTTCATCACCTTTTGTCTGGCCATCCACGCCATTATCTTTTTATTGTCATTTTTTTGTTTGTTTTGACAGCATTTTCTATTACTTAAGTATAAGTGATGTTCATACTGAAAATGATGAGGGACGGAATATAAAACCTAACTTTACTTCTAAGACTTTATTTTTGAGGGGGGAAGGTAATTTGGTTTATTTTTGGAGGAGGTACTGGGGATGGAACCCAGGACCTTATGTATGATAAACATGCACTCTACCACTTGAGCTATACCCTCCTCCCTAAGACTTTAAAGCAAACTATGCCCTTAAATATAGTCACTTTTTTTCCAACTTGAAAATGGAGAGTTGGGTGGATATTATTGGTCTTTTTGGTATTTTTTTTTCCTACTTACCAAACGTATCCCCAGTGCCTAAAGTAGTACCTGGTACAAGTAAGCAAGTAGGCTTTCAAATAACTTTTTGAATGAAGACTAAATGAAAAAAAAACTAGAGTAGTTTAGTGATTGGCATCGTGTCTGGATTACTAAACCCTAGGTTTTCAGTTGGCTGAGCCAGGCTGCTTTCGACTATTCGTTGTGGCTAGGATACAGATTCCTGGTGCTTATAAAAACAGTCTAGGCTATGATAAAAAGAATAGGCTCATTGGTGAAAACAGCTGCTCTTGAACTCTTGTAAGTTGCCCGAATATTAAATAGTATAAATTTTCTGTGGATGAATGTAGTCCACTTACAAACAAACCAACTAGTAACCTAGCTTGGCTATCCTTCTGGCTCGGTTTAACTGGGTTGGTAGAAAAACCCTGGGCCTTCTAAGTGTGAGACTTGGCTTACCTGCTTTCTGCACCCATCCTTAGGGCATAGCTTCTGACAGAATACATTACCTTTCTTCATCCAGAAATGTCAGTGCTAAAAGTATCTTTTCCTTTTCTACAGATTCCTCCTTATGGACAACAAGGCCCCAGCGGGTATGGTCAGCAGGGCCAGACTCCATATTACAACCAGCAAAGTCCTCACCCCCAGCAACAGCAGCCTCCCTACTCCCAGCAGCCACCATCCCAGACCCCTCACGCCCAACCTTCATATCAGCAGCAGCCGCAGTCTCAGCCACCACAGCTCCAGTCCTCTCAGCCTCCGTATTCTCAGCAGCCACCCCAGCCTCCCCATCAGCAGTCCCCAACTCCATATCCCTCCCAGCAGTCAACCACCCAGCAGCACCCCCAGAGCCAGCCCCCCTACTCACAGCCGCAGGCACAGTCTCCCTACCAGCAGCAGCAACCTCAGCAGCCAGCATCCTCGACGCTTTCCCAGCAGGCTGCGTACCCTCAGCCCCAGTCTCAGCAGTCACAGCAAACTGCCTATTCCCAGCAGCGCTTCCCTCCACCACAGGTAAGATGTCCCTTCCTCTCCCCTCTTCCTAGGTGTGACCACAGACAGCTTGGGGGTTGGTGTCATGAGAACTTTGCCATACAAATTGGTTCTCTCATGTGTACTTAAAAACCAATTAAACTCTGGGTAGACATGCTAACTGGATTGATTGAACTAATAAAGACATAACTGCATAGAAACCTGTAGTTCTTACTGATGAAATAGGGCAATGAAAAGTTGCATAGAGGGATAAGAAATTAAAGATAATGGGACTAATTTTTTATTACTTTTTTTTTTAACTTAGCATTCAGTACTTGAGCTTCCAAGTGAGTTTGGTCTTTTTAAAAACAGTCAGTTTGGGAGGCTGTACTATACATTCACTCAACTGCCATTCCATTCTGCTACTGCTCAAAGTATTTTGGACCCTTTCATTTGAAATTGCCATCAGAGCTGACATGACATTCTTTGGAATATTCTCAGTGGTAGCAAATCCTTTTTTTTAAGAATGGATTTGACTTTGGGAAATAGCTAAAAATCATTTGTAGCCATGTCTATGAACAAGGTAGGTGATAATGTCTAAAAATAACAATTTGGGCTTTATTCTTTAAAGAGCAAAAAGAAGAGAAATGACTGAGTGATGACAAGTCCAGTAAAGATTTTGTGCATTGGTGGCATTGTTGAAATAAATATCTCATCCCAAGGCAATGTCTTTGAAGGAAGCAGTACTCATTTTAATGCAGAGGTTCTAGTGTGAGTTTTTTGTTGTTTTTAAATTGAATTGGTCTCATTTCTTAATAGATATAACTTCTAGTTAGCCAGACTTTAGCATTTAACCCCAAGGAATAGCTTTCTGTGGGTGGTGATAAATGGTCAACAGTGCCATCGGAAAGAGTCTTATTTCCACTGGTGACATTCTTAAGAGCCACAACTTGTATTTTTCTGCATTTGGATAATACTGTGTGCAGTTGGGCAGTCTCTCACACCAACTTCCCCTTTGTGAGAGTCCCATAGCCCTTTCACCAGGAAGCAAGCTTGTCTGAATTATCAATACCAGGTTCTCACAGCTTCTTTTTTCTTGTTTTAGGAGTTATCTCAAGATTCATTTGGATCTCAGGCGTCCTCAGCCCCCTCAATGACCTCCAGTAAGGGAGGGCAAGAAGATATGAACCTGAGTCTTCAGTCAAGACCTTCAAGCTTGCCTGTGAGTATTTCTGCCACTCTCTAAAAGATGATGGGGGCAGAGAGGAAAGCAAAGAAAACCAGTTTCCAAATGGATATTTTGGTGGTATTGAGCTAAATGAAAGATGAACTATTCCTTGAATTCAAGGCTCAGAATTCTGAATAGGAATGTTTGAACTGACCTTATAGAATGTTTGTTTCGGCTGCCTGCCCAGGAACGAATATATCTGTGACCTTGACTTAAAGATCTAAACATTGTTTGAAGTTTTGGGGGTTTTGTTTTTAAATCTTGGGCTCTTAGGCATGGAACCAGGTGAGGGACAGAGAAAATGGAGATGGTGGAAGTACTATATGCTCTCCATCAAAATTGATAGGAGGTTCAGTGTTGTTTTGTTTTTTAAATCTTATTTTTGAGGGCTTAATTTTTAGATGTTTGTCTTAGTGTTTAGCTAGGAGGGTAGGATCTTGGGGTGCATTCAGCCTGGATTGTCGCATTGGACACGTTTGGAGTAAAAACAGATTTTCTAGTTGTTTTTTGTGAATAGATGCTCTTATCTAGTAGAGCTCTTGGTGCCCAGATGCTTGATGAGTGTTTATAGAATGGACTGACCATATCCTGAGAAAAAGCAATATGGTCTGCTGATTAAGAACTTGGGCTCTAGAGCCATATTTCCTGGGTCTGCATTTTGACTCTGCCACTAACTCTGTAGCCTTGGGCAAGTCATTTAACCTCTCCATGCCTGTAAAATGAAACTAAAAGTACCCACTTCATGAAGGGATTAACATTAAATAAATTAGTATAAAAAGTGTGGGTGCTTGTAGGCACTTCATAAATGTCAGTTGTTAATCATCATCTTAGAGGGCATAGGAACTATATTTGATACTCAAAGGCAGCTAACACCAACAATTTAATAGTGGGCTTGTTCCGGGAACATTTACCTTTAGTCTTAGTTCTGCCACTGAATGGGGACAGGTCACTCAGGCTGGGCACAGGAATAAAATGAACTGCTCTAAAATCTAGTTAAGACTGTAGGCAGCAAACCCCTTATTACAAATCTGGCTTAACAAATTCATGCTGTATAGCATAGGGAACTATATTCGATATCTTGTAATTTATGGTGAAAAAGAATATGAAAACGGATATATGTATGTTCATATGTGATTGAAGCATTGTGCTGTCCACCAGAAACTGACACAACATTGTAATCTGAGTATATGTCAGTAAATACACATACATACAAAACCTCCAAATCTGGCTTCAGTTAAGAAATGGAAATTCAGCCACAGGTGCCCAGATAAGATTCTTTTGCAATTTTGATTCTACTTGAATTTTAAACTTGTCTCTTTAATTATTCTGACTTGGGAGAAAATGGTTTTCTGGATCTAAGGAATTGGTAGGAGGCAGAAACTGACAGCCTCCATGGCTTCCCCTGAAGATTTCTTGAGCCATACATAAACTTAATAGGGCAAAGTCTATGGAGGCCCTTAGCACCTGTAATTCAGGCTTCCCAGGCCAGGATGAATAGCTGTTGTCAGATGGGACTTCTGAGACTGTTGACTTTCTCAGCTGAGGAACTGGGAGAGGAAGTGTCTGAATAAGGCTGTCACTCTCTGTTCCTTTCTCATTAATGTCTGTTGCAATCGTTTTCTGCGTCCTGAACTTCACTGGAATGTGCTTTTTAACCTGATTCAGTCAGAAATGTGTAACCACTCCCTCATCATCTATGGTCTGTGGCTAAATCTGGGTGAGGTACTATTGTAGCAAGAACCCCAATTGGTGGATTTCTGCCAGTGCTGTAATTGCTCCTCATCAAAAAGTTTCTGCTTATTCCTAGTGACCTTTTGACAGAACTGTATTTGATAGTTTTTAGTCCTGAGAAGCCTAGCATGCAAACACATTGCATGTCTTCTAAGGGTTGAGAGCCTTGTACAGTTGAATCCAAGAGTTTGATTTGACCTACTGAAGTGAAGTGCTCTTGGGTCCAGGGGAGGGTTGTTCCTGGGCAGCCTGTCATAAGGAGCATTCCCAAGTTCAGGCTTCTGCTATAGATTCATCCAAATGGGTTATTTGCTCTGTAGTAGAAGCTCCATGAGGGAGGTGAGCTGGCTGGGTTATTGGCATCTTGTTTGTTGAATTGCTTTTTATCCCTCTACTACTTGGACCAAGAAACAAAAAGTGGTTTATTCTTTGAAATTTTGGTTTGATGCCAGATTTGCCTAGCCAGGCTGGGGAAACAGTCATACCTGAAGAAAGGAGAAGTTAGGATTCCCTGCAAGGGGCCCTCTGCTTTCTTTCAGCAGCTGTGTTAAGGGAACCTTAGTTTCACCATTGTATCCCTCCACTCAACACGTGTTTGTGTTTGGCTCCAAAGTAGATAACTGTGCTAACTGGAGAGCAGCCTTTCCAGTTTTCCACGTCCCACTGCACTCATTTGCCTTATCCACTTTGCTCTAAAGGTATGATTGTGACCCTTGATTTAAAGATTCAGTATGGTTTCTGATTCTGATTATTACAAAAATTAGATTTTGAGGTATTTTCGTTCAGCTATTAATGCCAAATCATTTAGCTACTATTATCCTAATTGTTACCCATCTATTTAAAACCTCTCAATTATTTTTCATTAATCTTAGAATAAAATCCCAAATCTTTAATATTACCAAGGCTGTTCCCCCACCCTCCCCTTTCTGATTTAGTAGGTCTGAAGCGAGGCCTGAGAATTTGCATTTCTAACAAATTCTTGATGCTACTGATGCTGTTAGACCAAGGATGGCACTTTGAGAACCTCTGTTTCATCCTTTTTTTGCTCTCTGCCTTCTCTCAATTTCTGTACGGCCCTGTGCTTTTTCTGTTTACAACCCTTTGTACACAGTCTTCCTTTGCCTATATGCTTTTCCTCCTATCTTTTCATATTCATATTTCAGATTACATCTTCAAGATCATTTTTTCAGAAAACTTTCCTAATCAAGCTTCAAAACTCAAGCTAAATAACTTTTGTGATGCCTTCACTGACTAAAGGCAGTTTTTATTTTACTTTTTAAAAAGCTAGCAATATTTAAGACATATGAAAAGGTATAAAGAATAATTCAGTGCCTGAGAACCCATCTTTAGAAACCAAACCTTGCTGACACAGGTAAAACATCTTATATAGCCCTCTGGGATCACTTCCCTATCCTTGTACCCAGAGAAGCACTATCCTGTATCTGAGGGTTTTTTGCTCCATGTTGCTAGAGCATTTTGCTGATACCTCTACTTGGTTGAATGTTTTCCACCAGAAAATAAGCTCCTAGAAGGCAGGCATTATATTACTGACCTCTGTTCCCCAAAAACCTGTCACATGATGCCCAAGACCAGTGGGTTCTCTACCTTGGCTGAATTATTTAGAATTATTTGGGGAGTAAATGGTATTTAAAACCAGTGGCCAGGGTTCACTGAATTCTGATTTGTTTGATTTGGAGTTGGGCTTGGACTTTGGTATGGTTAGAAGCTGTCCTGGGTGATTCTGGTTTACAGCCCCAGTAGAGATCCACTAGTCCAAACTGTGTCAAGTTCCTTTGCTGTAATAGGCTGTATTAGGCCCATGCTTCTTATCAGTGCTTCTCAAGTGTAAGTAATTTCAATTACTTACTTAATGCAAGCTCAGTGAGGGCAGACTTGCTCTGTCTTGTTCATTGCCATCATGGTGCCTGGCAAATAGTAGGCTCCAACTCATTGAATAAACCTGAGCAGTATTCATTGATCATCCACAAAGTGTATGGCTGACAGGAGACAGCGTGATCATATTAACCAGATTGTAAGTTTTCACTGCTAGGGCAAGACAGGTATCACAGACTGTTATGGGAAGACCCAAACTCCATTTTAGAGGATGGAATAATTGATCTGTGCTTCCTGACAGTTGCCTTAGGAAGAAGTCGGGTTAGGGTTTGTTGTTATCTTGTGAAGTAGCTACCACTTCACTTTATTTTAAAGAGGTTCCTCCTGTAAGGGATGGGTGAGAAAATCTCTAGGTGTTTTATTAAGCCTTTAGGTTTCTTTATTTTGGGGCAAAATCTGTAAGAAACTCATCTGAAAATTGGTATCTGACTTTTGATTATAGTCATTTTTGAGAATGACTTGGAGTTGGATCTTGAAAAGCTTCTGTTTATGTGATTCATCCAAGTGTGTGTGGTTTCCTTCAAATAATGACTGCTTCCCAAATTTTTCTTACTGAGGCACATTTGTAAATTTACGTTTTAGTCTTGAAAGTGTACTTGGGATAGAGTTTCCATTCAGTGGTGAAAAATGAATATAGGATTGAAAGCCTAGGTCTGGAGAGGTTAGCTAGATTACTGCTTCTCAAATTTTAGCATGCTTTAAGAATCACCTAGAGATTAATTAAAACACAAGTTACTGACCTCTACTCAGATAGATTCTGATTAATCAGTCCTGGGGTAGGACCCCAAAATTTGCATTTCTAATAAGCTCTCAGGTGCTGCTGTAGTTATAAAGACCATACTTGAATAATCATGACCTATGGTAGTCTTTTGAAAAGGGAAGAAAAAAATTAGTAGACTATAAAGCCAGAATGGCAAGTTGAATAACACTGGTGACTTACACTACATTTTGACTCTTGATGATCTGGAAGGAAGGCTGTGGATTGAAAATGGTGGAATGAAAAGAGACTTGGGAGAGACAGACTGCCTGCATCTGTGGCCTCTGCAGTTTATATTCCTCAGTTAGGGCAGTCTTTGCAATGCCAGCACCACACTGGACGCTCTCTGCTCTGTGGCACTCACCACTGGATCCCTTCCATAAGTTGGTCACCAAATCCTAGCCTGCCTCAGAAATGACTTTTCAATCCTTTGTCCTTCCTCATTGCCTTTTCTTCAGGCCCCAGTTATCTCTCACTTGGTGTTTTGCTACAGAGTTCTGACTGTTCTGTTTCTTCTCCTTCCATGTCTGTCCTCAGCTTAATCACCAGAGTGATCATCTTAAAAATTCAGACTTGGCAAGTTATATTACTGCTTTACAATCTCTGGCTACTT